CAGGTCGGGGGCCATTAGACCTCAGAATGTTTCCCAAAAATCCTTCGGGCATCCATCGAGAGCCGGCGCTTTCTCCTTCTGAATTTGCATCAACGTTGTCCAGATCTCCTCCAGTCGTCCTTGGTTAGCGGGCTGTTCAATTGCACCCTCTGCTGTTCTGTCAAGCTTTTAGTTGGCGGCTGTGGGAAGGTGACGATCTCCTCCTCTCTACTGGGTCCGTCCTGCTGAGAAAACCTAAAGGTAAAAAGGTCCTTGAAAAAGGTCCGAGCAATCTGAGCGCATTGGGGGGTGGAAGTTGCCACATCCCCTGTGCCCTGCTGTGGGTCGTACAGGGCCTCAATGGATGTTCTGCGTGTCCGTGCTCTGGCTAGGCTGAAATATTTTTTATCCATTGCGCCCTCCGTTTGATGACGAGTCATTCTTGCCCTGATGCGCATGCCCTCCCATCGCTGGTCCGCGAGGGCTTGTAGTTGTTGACATAGAGACTGTTCTTCTGATTGATCGTTCTGTTGAACGTGAGGAGCATCCTATAGTTCGTCCTATGGTTCCCGCTGACAGTGTTCCAGTTGTTGAAGTTGCTGTAGTATTTGTATTTCCCTTCCGTAACGTCTGGCCGCTAGTTGCGACGAGTATTCCTTGCATTTTTTTCCCAGAAAGAAAAACCCATTATTGAACCAATCAATTATCTGTGGGATGTTTTGTTTTTGTGTGTGCCAAAAGGTCCAACAATCCTTGATGTAAGTGTGAAATGTTCGTAGCTGCAGGATAGATCAGCGTATAGAAGCCAGGCCCACGGTCAGATTTTTTTCGGAACGTTAGGGCAATAGTACACATCTTATGATCCAGTCCCGAATACGGGCTTCGCGGTAGAATGGCTGCTAAGAGCACCGAGCCCTGCAGGTCCTCTGAGATATGGATCAAGTCAATTCTAGATCGTGATTGCCCTTTTGTCCGTCTTGCGCAAAGAAGAGAAGAATCTCGTGTCAGGGTGCAGTTTCCTAAACGTGTGGAAGACATTTAGCGATAGGCGCAGGTCCCTGATCATCCGCTCATCCTCTTCAATGTAGAGCGGGGCGGGAGTTGGAATCCGCCACCTGTCCATCCAGCGGTCCGGGGCCGCAGTGTAGTCCCCAGCTATTATAACAGGCATCCCGGCCGGAATCCGTGTTCTCAGATTCTCTATCTGTGGTGTACATGGTGCGTATGGTCTGTGGGTGGATGATGGACTCCGATGGAGTTACCTCACTGGCTCAGCGGGCGGTGGGGAACAGCAGTTTGCGTGGTTCAACGGTGATGTGAGTAGGTGATGTGCCACTTTGCTCCATGTTGGATGTGTGGACTGGCTCGCCTGCGCTCCGCTGCTGCCTTTCTGCCCTTCCCGCTTGCATCGCATGCGGTTCTTTGCAATCTGCTGTGTTTCCTGCGGGGTGTGGCTGCGGTGTTGGTGTTGCCTTGTGCCTGGCTGCTTTGCTGCCTTACCATCCGTGTGCCGTTCCTTCCGCGTCCTTTGCTTGTGTGCCGTGAGGTTTGGCTGCCTTGTTGCTGTTGCCTTGTGCGGACGCCATGCTGCTTGTCCACTTGCCCATTCGTTCCTTGCCGTTGTTTCTGGCGTTGTGCAGTGGTGTTGCCTCCGCAGCATTCCCTGGTGCTTCGCTGAGTTGCTGCCTGCTGCTATGTTCCGCTTGGGGACAGTCTGCCTTCAACATAGGGTCAAATGGTTCATGACATAGTAGTGCACAGACTTGCGCACGCATTGCGCACTGCGCCAGAAAATTTAAGGTGCAGAAAAAAAAGAAAAAAAGAAAAAAGGGGGTTGGTAATTTCTTAGGGGGAACCCCCCGGCAAAAATGTTCAACTAGAAACCGACCGCACCCCGAGCACAAAAAAAAAAAAAATTGGCCTAGGGCTGCCGAATTTAGAATTCCGCAGGCCCCTCCCCCAAAAATTTTGAAATGGCGGATCATGAAAATAGGGCTCATTAGCCTCATTCCAGTTTTTTTTTTTGTTTTTGTTAATGGGTGTGGAAACTGCCCTTTCCCCTCCCTTCTGCAAATCCCTCACAGTGGTGGGGAAAATTCCTGAGAAGGGTGTAATTGCCCAAATGTAAAGCGACCTGCCCCACAGTGCTTCACAGAAATCACAAGATATCTTTTGACAAGGCCAGCCGACCGCCAATACATGCTGAAGATTGGCATTCAGGTCTGCATGTCGGCAATTATGGGTTAGGATAAAGATGCCTGTACTAGCTCTCTCATTTTTTCCTTTTTGCTTTCTTATGAATATATACAGTGGCCCAAGGGGCCTTGCTCCACTACTCACCACATGCACAAAAGACATAATAGCATATGGTGGTGTATGGTTCCATGTTTTAGGAGAAGATTCATTCTAATGTTATACATTTGGTGAGTGCTGGAGTGAGGCCCTGAGAATCACGTGGAGACACGAACAGGGTCTTGCTGAATTGGTGACCCATAACAGTTACTGACGAGCGACAGAGTCTGACCCGAACTCAAACCCACAGCACAATATATTGGTGGTCTGCTCCCACCTCTTCCACATATGATGGGGCCGTCCTTCTCGTTGAAGCTTGGTCCTCAATGACTCCACAATGTCCACATACATTGTAGGAACCATTTGAGTTACCTGCAGGGGCCCTCGAATTGAAGGTGGTCCTTTGGTCTCTCTCTCTCTCTCTCTCTCTCTCTCTCTCTCTCTCTCTCTCTCTCTCTCTCTCTCTCTCTCTCTCTAGCACATATAAATGTTCGTCTTTTCTTTTTGTGTGTGTGTTTTCTTTTTCCGTGCACCTGGCACACCGCCCGCAGCACGCGCACTGCGCAGAGTGCGCGCGCTGTCATTCCAGCACACAGCGCACTGCGCACTGGTGCACGACAACTATGGTTCATGACTTCATGGCCCAACCCATGAATATGGAGATTCCACAGATTTGCCAAGGGTTCACCCTCCTGATGAGTCGGCGCAACTCCGACGAAACAATCTTTCATGGTCATCAGCTTTTTTCTTTTTTTCAGTCTTTGAATTTTTTGGGCACTTGTGTTTGTTTTTGGTTTGGCTGTTTTGTCTGATTGTGTGTCGTCTGCCCTCCCACCTCCCCTGCACCCTCCAGGCTTTGTCGAAGTTTGTCCTTTGTTGCAGCTTGTCGTCCTATGCCTCACTAGTTGTCTTGTGCCCCCTCGACCTTTCATGCTAAGCCGTGTGCTTGTATGTTCTTCTCTCAATTTCACCTCACACTACCTACCTACCACTACTACTAATTATAGTCATACGAGGAACCCCGTAGGAGCCAGAACCGTGTTCACGGGAGAACATGCGGGGCTGCTCAACCGTGTTCATGAGAGAACATGCCAGGCTGTTCCCGACCTGCAGGTGGGCGATACCAGCCAGAGGCCATCACCCTTTAAACAAAAAAAAAAAAAAAAAAAAAAAGGAGTGTGAAGGGGAGAGGGATGGATGCGAATGGAGGGATGAAAGAGTGGTTGGGGTGTGATTGGTCGAGGAGCAAGTGAGGAGGAGACAGTGGCGGATACACAACCACGATTACGCCACTCTAGCCTTACCACTACGGAGTTGCTGTACGCAAAATATTATTGTAGGCTACCAGTTGGGGAATTATCTGGATCTATCTTTTCTTTTATTTTTATTTATTTTTATATTTTTTTATGTTTCTTACTAGGCTACCAGAGTGGCCCGGGGTCACTTGCCCGGCCAGGCCAAAAACATTAAAAAAAATAAAAATAAAACATTATTTTTAAATTTTATTTTTTATTTTGAATTTGGTGAAGAATTTCCATGTGACCCTGAGGCAAACGTTGTTCAGTTTATGTTTCTGCATAACATAGTTTTTTTTT